TTTATTTTTAATAAAGCTTTTTTCACATGATTTAATACTTACATCTTTAAAATTGTCCAAGAATTGTAAAACTCCTATAAATCCTGTTTCTCACATAGCCAAATGCATAGTGTAACAGACAATGTATGGCCTTAGTATCATGATTATTCAAATCTGAACATTCAAGTAGTATGATGTTATACTAATATTTTTCCTCATTAAGAATCTGAGTCAAAGTCTACTGAATATCTAGTACTTTGTTTGAATCCACTGGATGAGGAGGATTAGAATCCTTTAATTATTGAAAACAAACTAAAGTAGGAAAACTTAGCTTTTATGAGGTTCATGAATGTGATTTAGGGGTTTGTAGACTCAAAATTATAGGTTAAGATTTCTATGTGAATTTCTCAGGGCAGGAGAGTCCAAAGCTTTCCATGGATTTCTAAAGAAGTCTGTCATGCCTGAACAATGATTGTAACTTCAGTACAGCCACTGAAGGGTATTTTTAAGCTGTGATTCTCATTATACTTTGGATCATAAACCTGTTTAAAATCTAAGGAAAGCTATAAATTTTCAAATTTGGGTATAATTTTTGAGGTTCTTGGATCCTCCAAAATCTCTTCTCAGACTTCTTGGACTTGCTATTTGGGATTCATAAACCACTGCCATTAGGAAACATGTTCTGGCTCATATTAGGCCTTAGTCTCATTATTTTAGAGACTTACAGTTTCATTTACACATATTCTGCACCTTCAGACTGTTTCTCTATACGTTTCTGACATTTCTCTATTTCAATTTTTTATCTCACATACTAGAGACCTGGTGCACAAGTTTGTGCACTAGTGGGGTCCCTCGGCCTGGCATGCGGGATTGGGCCAAAATTGGCTCTCTGACATCTCCTGAGGAGTCCCGGATTGCATGAGGGAGCAGGCCAGGCAGAGGGACCCCACCGGTGCATGATTGGGGCGGGGGAGGGATGTGGGAGGTTGGCCAGCCGGAGAGGGACTGCAGGAGAGCTCCAGGGCGTGCCTCGCCCATCTCGCTCAGTCCCAATCAGCCAGACCCCAACAGCAAGCTAACCTACCGGTTGTAGCATCTGCCCCTGGTGGTCAGTGCACGTCATAGCGACTGGTCGACTGGCCGACTGCCCCCTGGTGGTCAGTGTGTGTCATAGTGAGTGGTTGAGCGGCCTTAGCATATCATTAGCATATCATGCTTTGATTGGTTGAATGGCTGGCTGAATACTTAGCATATTAGACTTTTATTATATAGGATATCACCTGGGTAATATATATCTTATTATTACTTCTTTACCTTTTACACCCTATTGGAAAAATTTTAAAAGCTTTTATTTCTTGTGTTTACTGCCTTTTTAGCTGTGGAGCAGTTATCTTAAGTTATAGTCTTAAAAAAGAAAAATATGTTAAGGGGAATTTTTTTCCAAATAGCCAAGATCTGAAAACAGCCCAAGTGCCCATTAGTAGATGTGTGGATAAAAAAGCTGTGGTACATTTATACACAATGGAATATTACTTGCCGTAAAAACAACACACCAACATAGAAATCTTACTTTTTGTGACAGCATGGATGAACTTGGAGATCATTATGTTAAGTGAAATAAGCTTGTCAGAGAAAGACAGATATCATATAATCTCACTTATATGTAGAATCTGATGAACAAAATAAACTAACAACCAAAGTGGAGACAGACTCATGGATACAGAGAACAGACTGATGGGGACTGGATGAAAGAAGATGAAGGGTTTAAGCAAAAAAGCATACATTTATAGCATACAGACACAGACAACAGTGTGGTGATAGCCAGAAGAAAAGTGGGGTTAGGGCTAGGTGGAGGTGGGCAAAGGAAGGGAAAATGGGGACAAAAAAAGACTTAACTGGTGCACGATGCAGTGTTCAGATGATGTTTTATTGAGTTGTAAAACTGAAACCTGTATGGGTTATGAACCAGTCACCCTAATAAATTTAATTAAAAAATAGAATATAAAATTGCAAAAAAAAAAAAAAAGCAAAATAAATTAAAGAACAATTCCTGGGTAAATATGTTAAGGGAGATTTTTTTCCCTCCAAATTATATTATGAATTTTCCACATAAAATATTTCTGTTAAGAAAAGTTACTGGTGTATATGGCAAGAAAAGTTGCTTCTAATTTTACTTTTCTTTGGTGGGGATGGGCTTACTTTTCTCTAAGAAGCATCATTTCTTGATAAGTAGCTTTCCAGCTCTTTTATGGTTTAACTAGATGCCCAGTGCACGAATTTTGTGCTTGGGTTGGGTCCCTAGGCCTGGCCAGCAATCAGGGCTGATCGGGACCTTCTGGCTGCTGGCTGGAGCCTTCCTTCCCTGGCTGCAGGTTGCCAGCTGGGGCCTTCCTTTGTTCCGTGCCACCCCCTGGTGGTCAGTGCATGTCATAGCGAGTGATCGGACTCCTGCTCTTCCCGTCGAACTTCCGAGGGGACATTGCATATTAGCCTTTTATATATATAGATCTTTGATGCTCTTTAGGATAACTGCCTTTCTTATTTTGGAAATACCTTATTTCTGATTCTTAAATTTCAAATATTAGATTATAATGACCCATTTTATGTCTTTTGACTTCAGCTGGTTTTAGCACTACTAAATGACATAGATTGTTAACTCTCTCTGCAGAGTTCATGTTAATCTTCAAGCTACATAAAATTTGTTTCAATTATTATTATTTTTTTTGGCACTGGTACTTTTGTTACTTGGTTGTTTTTTATTAACTCTTCCAGTAGTATATACTATTCAAATTGAAGCTAAGAGATTCCACAAATCAAAATTGTTATCCTTATTAGGGTATATTTTTTAACCCTTTGGTATTTTTAGTCTCTCATGGTTCTTCTCTGTAGCACTCCCATTCTATTTTGATTCTGTTTTCTAGTTAGTAACAGTTTGTTTACTTCTTAAAATATTAGAATGCTGTACATTTGAGTTTTAGAAAAATTGAAATATTTTTGTCTGTGCATAATATTCTTTAACGAGGGATATTTTCATTTGCCTTCAAAGGTTTTTTGAATATTTTTTCAAAAAACTAATTAAATATCAAATTATGTAAATATAAAAATAACATAATTTTGACTTTCAGTGCAATGCGTGTTTTACTATCTAAATTACCAAGACCATGGATTGTGGATGAGAAGAAAGATGATGGTTATACTGCCTTGCATCTGGCTGCCCTTAATAATCACGTGGAAGTGGCTGAATTATTGGTACATCAGGTAGGAAAAGCAATTCAATTTTTAACAATTTTAGACCATTGTCATTCATTTATTTATTAGTTCATCAGCTACCTATTAGTGTGCTACAGTAAAATCCCATGATGATGCACATTCAGAAATAGTACACATTCAGTCTTCTAACACTGATTATTAAAGGGAGGGAAAGGTGTGCTTGTGTGTCCCTCAGTCCCCAGTGTTCCCTCTGCACAGTCTTCCTGGATTGGTCCAATGAAATGAGCAAAACTACAAGGAATTTCCCAGAACTCCTGCCACTGTTGTGGAAATGTCAGTCAGCCACAGGACCAAGAACCATCATATTGATATCTAAGCTGATGTGGCCAGTTGCCATCAGGTAACACCAGGCTATAGCCAGGATCTGGCGGTTCAATTCATGATTGCTGCTGGACCTGTGGAATGTGTGGCTGGATAGCTGATGCACTCACCTTAGTCATTTCATTCATTTCCAAAATAAGACAACTTAACTTTTTATGACTGAATTTTTTTGGGACCTATTTATTTTAGTTTATAATGTTTTAGTATATTCAGCAAAATATTAAAAATGCTTCAATCAAGTATATGTCGTATAGAAGCACTGAAGTTATTAAAAAATGATCTGTGATCCCTGACTTCAAGGAGTTAAGTTAAGAAGATGCAACAGCAGAAAAATTTAGGAGAGAGAACATTATGTGCAATTAAATCCTAGATTATAAGGTAGATCCTCCATAAACTATACAAGTTTAGATAAACTACCCAAGTTTAGATAAAGAAATAGTTCAAAAGTTAAACTACCTTTCCCCTGCCATTTTAAGCCTTTATTTTATTTTATTTTTTTTAATATATTTTATTGAGTTTTTACAGAGAGGAAAGGAGAGAGATAGTTAGAAACATCGATGAGAGAGAAACATCGACCAGCTGCCTCCTGCGCACTCCCCACTGGGGATTTGCCTGCAACCAAGGTACATGCCCTTGACCGGAATCGAACCTGGGACCTTTCAGTCCGCAGGCTCACGCTCTATCCACTGAGCCAAACCGGTTTCGGCCATTTTAAGCCTTTATTATTAAAATTAATTCTTTTAGAAGTATTGTTAATTATAATATATTCTTTTTTATCCTAATCCAAATGGCACACCAATAACACACCGTCTTTGTTATTGTTGCTTTGTAGTAAGACTTGAAATCAGTTAGAGTAAGTCCTCTAACTTTGTTCTTCTTTCTCAGAATTAATTGCTTTACTATTCTGGATCTTTTGAATGTCCATATGTATTTTAGAATCAGATTATTAGTTTCTCTTAAAAAGTCTTTCTGGGAGTTTGATTGCTCTCATACATATTAGTTTTATCTTTAAGTTTTGATGCTATCGTAAATTGTATTGTTTTTTAAAAAATATGTTTTTATTGATTTCAGAAAGAGCAAGTGAGAGGGATAGAAACATTAATGATGAGAGAATCATTGATCGGCTGCTTCTTATACACCCCAATTGGGGATTGAGCCCGCAATCTAGACATGTGCCCTGACTGGGAATTGAACTGTGACCTCCTGTTTCATGGGTCAATGCTCAACCATTGAGCCACACTGGCCTGGCATAAATTATATTGTTTTAAAACTTCAATTTTGTATATTGTTAGTGCATAGAAATACAGTTATTTTTTTGTATATTGATCATATATCCTGTGACATTGCTTAAATTACCATTGGTCATTGGGGAAATAAATTATAATCACATTGAGGTATTACTAATTATCAACTACAATGATTAAAATTAAAAAGTCCAGAAAAGCCAAGTGTTGATTAGGAGTTGGTACAGTTAGAATACACGAACATTGCTGGTGTTTTTCAAAGCTGCCATTTTAAAAAACAGTTTGGCAGTTTCTTATAAGGTTAACATATTTCACTATACAACTAGCAATTCCACTTCTGAGTATGTACCCAAGAGAGCTAAGGACACATTTCCACACAAATATTTGTAGCAGCTTTATTTATAATAGTTTCAAAGTGGAAGCAAGCCAAATGTTCACCAGCTGGTGCCGGATAAACAAATTATGGTACATCCATACAGTGCATACTTACTACTTTGAAAAATCTAAATGATGGAAAAGTTCAGGAAACTTGAAAAGGAAATTCCTCACAGTCATAACATTACTGGAGTTTTAGCACAGTTGGGTATCAGAGTTGTAATCAGAGAGCATGAATGATTCCAATACAAACAGGATGATAAAGTCTAATCTTTTGAACCTGTAGCCCTTTTCTTAATTTCCTATTTTTTGTTATGCCAGACATTATGTGAGGCAGTTTTGCATGCTACTTTTTTTCCCCCTGTTAATCCTCACCCAAAGATATTTTTCCATTGGTTTTTAGTCCCCAGTGTTGTCAAATTTTAACTATAAAAACTTTGTTGTTGTTTTTCAGGGTAATGCAAACCTGGATATCCAGAATGTGAACCAACAAACGGCCCTCCATCTTGCTGTTGAACGACAGCACACCCAGATTGTTAGGGTAAAGTGCTTACTAACATGAATCTTAGTTTGCAATTGTATTTTAACTAGACAGATTTCTAGAATGTTTTGGAAATTTAAGTAACACATTGTTAGATTTCTTAGAAGACAGAGTTATATGTAAAAATTATGATTTTAGACTATTTTATATCAGTTTAATTTATAGTAGGGAATATCTTAAAACTCTGATATTTAAAGTTTTTATAATTTTCCAGATTTGTGAATTCCCAGAATATTAAATCAAAGAATTTCAAAGTAGCTTATAAATTAGTTTTTAAAAAGTACATTCCCTCTTAATTTATATAATTGAGACTGAATTATAATTTAAAACTTTGGCTGGATGTTTGCTGCATTGATTCCAAATAAAAGGTTTTTATTTTATTAACCTGGTGATTCTAGACAAAATATTTGAAAGATTATCTTTTAAAAATTTTTTTGGTAGAGCAGTGATTCTTAAAGTGTAGAGGCTGAACCAGTAGCATCAGCGTTGTTACCTGTGACCTTAGTAGAAAAGCAAATTTTTGGGCCCCACCTCATACCAATCAAATCAGAACTTCAGGGGTGGGAACTGGCAGCAATCTGATTTAATAAGCCTGGTAATTCTGAAACACGTTCAAATTTGAGAAACACTGCCCTGGAATGAAATTGTATGTACTCTTTTTGAAACAAAGTAAAAACAAACAAACAAGTAAAAACAATTTGCCAAGCCCTAGCCGATTTTGTTCAGTGGGTAGAGCTTCGGCTTGTAGACTGAAGGGTCCCAGGATCGATTATGTGCCTTGGTTGCAGTTTCGATCCTGGCGCCCTAGTTAGGGTGTGTTTGGGAGACAGCCAATTGATGTGTCTCTCTCACATCGATGTTTCTCTCTGTCTCTCCCTTTCACTTCCACACATTCTCTCAAAATCAATGAAAAAATATCCTTGGGTGAGAATTAACAAAAATAAACAAATAAAAACAAACAAATAAAAAAAAAACATTTGCCAATATAGGTAAGACTATATGCTTGAGATTGGTTTCTATGTATGCTGGTTTTCGAAAATTCTGATAGCATTTGTAGAAAGGATTATGAAAATTGTTAAAGCACCACAAGCAAAATCTTAAAGTTATATTTACTACTTAAAATATCTATTGAAATATATCAACTCTGCATTTTATGTTGTAGTTTAGCAAACACTTCACATTTATTGTTATTTAAAATTCCTCTTGCTAAAAATTCTTAATTTATCTATGATATTTGGACTTCCCTATGAGCATACATTTGGAGAAAATTGATCAAAGAGAATGGAATAAAAAATAACTTCTCCTTATTTGTTTAAATAATAGAATAATTTTGAACATTATTATTTGGTCCTATTAGAAGTACTTAAAATATCTCACTTCACATGTCTGAAATTAAAAGGAAAAAAAGTCCTAAAATTTCTCCAGTTATTTTGATCCTAGAGTAGATGAATTAAACAATATATTGGTTCTCATTTCTTTGTTTTCTTTAATTCGATACCCAGAATCATCACTATTTGTAAGGAGCCGCAGGGTTATAGAGTAGTAGCAAGCAAATACCTAAGAATTACTAGTGGCAGCTCCTCCAGGTGGGCTCTCTCACTATTGCTTTAGATATGTTGTAATTTCTTGTGGGTGGGGATACTTTAGCAAAATGAGATGTCTTTCTCTTTTAGCTTTTGGTCCGTGCAGGTGCCAAATTAGATATTCAGGATAAGGATGGGGATACTCCTTTGCATGAAGCTCTGAGGCACCACACCTTGTCTCAGCTACGTCAGCTCCAGGATATGCAAGATGTGGGCAAGGTCGATGCTGCCTGGGAGCCATCCAAAAACACTGTGAGTAGAGATAATCTTTAATTTAGTACCACTGAAAGTCATCTCCCTAATGACTACTAATATCAAACATCTTTTCTTTGGCTTTTTTGCCACCCACATTTGTTTGATGAATGTTTGTTCATACCATTTGTTTATTATTTTGTTGAGCTGTTTTCTTACTATTGAGTTTTGAGAGTTATTATATAATCTGAATGCAAGTTTTTTTAATCAGGTATGTGATTTCCACATGGTTTCTCCCAGCACTGTTTGTTGAAAAGACTGTCATTTTGTACTGAATCACCTGTTGTATCTTTATCCAAAATCAATTTTAACCATGTATGTGAAGTCTTTCTGAATCTGATATTCTGTTCTGTTGATGTATGTTTAGAATTATTGTCTTTAGCTATGTGATACCAGCCCACTGTCTTGATTACTGTTGTTTTTGTTTTTTCAAATATATTTTTATTGATTTCAGAGAGAAAGGGAGAGGGAGAAAGATAGAAACACCCATGATGAGAGAGAACCATGGATCGGCTGCTATGCATGCCCCCTACTGGGGATCGAGCCCGCAACCTCAGGCATGTGCCGTGACTGGGAATCGAACCTGTGACCTCCTGGTTCATAGGTCAATACTCAACCACTGAGCCATGCCAGCCGGGCTGATTACTGTAGTTTTATAATAAATGTTGAAATAAGATAGTATAAAACCTCTAACTTTTTTCTTCCAAAGTTGCTTGACTATCCTGAGTCCTTCACCTTCCCATATGAATTTGAGATTCATTTTTAAGAATGTAAAGGGGTTCTGTGACAAAGTGTTTGAGAATTGCTGCTCTGACTCCTATGTGCATCATTTTTCTCATTTTAAAATGAGGGAAAGGGAATAACTATCTCTATAAGGTTATGAAGATTAAATTAATTTATGGAAAGTGCTTAAAATAATTCTTGGTTCATTGTAGAGACTTTGTAAATGTTAACAATTATTATGACTGTTTTCTGGTAAGATGTTTGAGTCAATAGTTAGATAACAGAACCTGATTTGTTTTGTTCTCCATTTCTTGGCTTAATTCCTAGGTACTGGTTCTTTTCTTAACTTGTCTCTCCCCTTATTGTTTCAAGTTGATTCCTAGTAGCTCCAGAACCAAAAGAAAAGAAAGTACTGTTTCTTTAGCATCTCAATCAGAAGTCCTGTTCTTGAGTTTTATTGGCCTTAATTGACCTGATTTGGGTTATATGTCATCCCTGAACTAATCACACAGACAGGTTGATATCTGACTGGTTTGATCCATCATGGTCCACCTCTAAAGTGGAGAGTATGCCAATCCTCAAACTATCTGCCTGAGAAAAGTGGGGCTACAGGGGAAGGGGGAATGGATATTAGGGCTGCAACTTATCAATGTCCACCATATTTATATGACCTGTAAATTCTTACCAGACATGCATCTTTATATATAACACACACATACATGCACATACCTATGTGTGTACATGTATGAATATGTATGTACATATTCTATATACACATTATATATGTGGGGTATAAGTAGGTTTACAGTAGTTTTTAAGGGAAATAATATAATAATAAATAATAATGCAAGAATTAGCTGTGTTTCACATATTCACAACTGTAAACCTACTTTTTCCCACCCTACATTGGTGGTAGGAATTGATAAAGAGAAAATAATGACTCCTTTTTCATTTAATTTCAGTTAATAATGGGACTTGGTACCCAGGGGGCAGAGAAGAAGAGTGCAGCATCTATTGCCTGTTTCTTGGCTGCTAATGGTGCTGACCTTAGCATTCGAAATAAGAAGGGTCAATCACCACTTGATCTCTGTCCTGATCCAAGTCTCTGCAAAGCACTGGCAAAATGTCATAAAGAAAAAGTCAGGTTTGTATTATATTTATCATAAAAGTTGATATTTTATGCATAAGGTATCATGTAGTTTCATAACAGACTACTTGAAAATGCCTTTGTCTTTGCTCTTCCTCTACCTTTTTTCCTTTTTCTTTTTAAATTAAATTTATTGGCGACATTGGTTAAGAAAATTATGTAGGTTTCGGGTGTACAATTTTATAATACATCATGCTATTCCTCTATCTTTGTGTTGGCTCTTCCTTAAAAAACTTTCCTATAGAGATCATGTCTCTTATATTGTATTCTGTACGTTATTAAATACTAGAGGCCCAGTGCACGAAATTCGTGCACTTGGCGGCGGGGGGGTGGGGGGGGAGATCCCTCTGCCCGCCTGCACGCTCTCGCAGTCCGGGAGCCCTCGGGAGCAGGCCTAAGCTGGCAGTTAGACATCCTTAGCGCTGCCGTGGAGGCGGGAGAGACTCCCGCCACCATCGCTGTGCTCACCAGCCATGAGCCCAGCTTCTGGCTGAGCGGTGCTCCCCCTGTGGGAGTGCACTGACTACCAGGGGGCAGCTCGAGGGTTGAGTGTCTGCACCCTGGTGGTCAGTGTGCGTCATAGAGATTGGTCGTTCTGCCATTCAGTTGATTTGCATATTAATTAGCCTTTTATTATATAGCAGTGGTTCTCAACCTTCTGGCCCTTTAAATATAGTTCCTCATGTTGTGACCCAACTATAAAATTATTTTCGTTGCTACTTCATAACTGTAGTGTTGCTACTGTTATGAATCGTAATGTAAATATCTGATATGCAGGATGGTCTTAGGCAACCCCTGTGAAAGGGTTGTTCGACCACCAAAGGGGTCATGACCAGCAGGTTGAGAACCGCTGTTATATAGGATAATACTTTATGAATAATAAATTTAAGAAACTTTTCTAAGCCAGTCGGATCTTCCAGTACTCCTGTATGTTAGAGAAAGTTGTCTATAAGAAAAGTTCTCACTAGTGAAATTGCTGTGATTAATGTTATGTGTATTTAAAATTTTAATAGACTCTTGCAAAGAAAGGCAGTTTACTTGCTAACAGAATATATCTCATACAAACTCTAATAATCTAGCACCCTGCACAGTGCCTAATAGGCACCCAGTAAGTATCATTGAAGAATTGAAAAGTTAAATGAATGAACCACTTCCTGATGGAGTTTTTTTAAAAATGATCATTTCACACTTGCCTTCTTTTCTAAAAGTAAAATGTGTTGGTGATTTTAATTATTTATGATAACAACTAAATTTCTTATTGAAATTATAGTCATACAAAAGGTACATCTCATTAGTTTTTCATCCAAATGATGCTATACAACTATAATTGCCCTTTATACCTCTTTCTTGTTATTGAACATTTCAGGAGTTGTCCCCTGATCTTTGTGCTCTCTGTACTCTCTTGCCTCTCTTATAATTTGTGTAGTGATGAAAAGACACCTCTTTGGAATCCATGCATAAAGTAAAATTATAGGGAAATTAATATAATGAGTTATGTACATTTCTTTAAGTCTAACCTTAAGGGGCATAAAATTCTATTATAGGATGACAGAATGAATCTAAAACATACAGATACAAGGCACTGTAATTACTGCAGTAATAACTTTAAGACTGAGCTCTAAGATGAAACTGCTTTGTGTGTGTGTGTGTGTGTGTGTGTGTGTTTGTGTGTGTGTGCATGCGCTGGTGTGCGGATGCATTTCATGAGTTTCTGAAGACTGTAGTTGTTCATATACATGTATTTCTATGTCTTGTATCTTTATATGTATAGCTGCATTGTCTTCCTGTAATAGAATTTTTGCTCCCTAAGGATACAATTAAAGAAATGTCGGAACAGCAGCTGCAGTGACTTATTTTCCAAGTGCCCTTGTCAGTTGTGGGCTTTATAGACACTTCATTTCTTCCTGTCTGTACTTAGGATAACTAACATGGACTCTAGTTAGGATTTTCTTTTTATTCTTATACCTTTCTCGGCTGGTTCTACATAAGCAAAACAAGTTCTGAGTGAAACTGTGTCTATGCGAAATTTTTAACTTGTGTTTTTTATTTCCGTGTTAGAAGATTTGGATTCACCGTTTTCTAATGTGCGAGAACTTGTTCAATTTGTATTTCAAATAGTACTACAAATAGGTGAAGATACAGAGATGTATATAAAATAGAAAAATATAGTATACAGTGTTTCATATACAGATGCTTAATTTTTTAACTAAAGCTATTTTTATATATATTACTGATGGTCTAGATGTTTTTAAAACCATTTTAACTATTGAATTTGTAATATAAATATTCTGATACGCTTGATTTGAAATATTTTCTTTTATTAGTGGTCAAGTGGGTTCTCGAAGTCCTTCTATGATTAGTAATGATTCTGAAACCTTAGAAGAGTGTATGGTGTGCTCAGATATGAAGAGAGATACTCTTTTTGGCCCATGTGGACATATTGCTACCTGTTCTTTATGTTCTCCACGAGTCAAGAAATGCCTCATCTGTAAAGAACAAGTTCAATCTAGGACAAAGGTAATATATTTTTAATATGATATTTTATAATTTTATGGAGATCTTTGAAACTACAATTAATGATAAATAAAGTTATAAGATGCCTTGTGTCTATTTAATTTTGTTCTTCTGTTCTAAATATAGGAATATATAATTTATATATTTATTGAGACCACTTAGGAGATTCCTTCTTTATATGTAAATTATAGTCATTAAAAATAATCTACTATTTTGCTTTCAGAGCACTTAAAACCTAAAGATATATTGGATTCCATTTTGTTTTGTAGTTACTTATAAATTGCCCCCTTTCTGAGTACATGAACTGTTTTGTATTTATCTTTGTAAAGACTATAAGTTTTTTTGTAGAATGTCACATATTCTGGATTTGTTTGATTTATTGATCATGGCATTAGTTTGTTTTTCTATTGCCTCTATATTTCCTGTAAACTGGAAGGTAGGTCTAATGGCTTGATTAGGATCTGCTTAAACATTTTTTGCAAGAAAATGTCACAGATGATGCTACTCGTTTTATATCATTTCCTACAAGGAGGCAAATAAAGTTTGATCATCCTGCAATTAGTGATGGCCAAATTCTGCATCCACTCTGAACTTTTCATCTTTTCAGACTCCTTTTTCTTTTTAAGAGATATTCTTTTCTGGGTTACTGGTTTCATTCTTTTCCCAGGTAAACTCAGTGCTTTATCATCACTGTGCTGGCTTACTCATTTTGGTTTACTGAAATAATGGATTTTCTTTTTTAGTTTTTCCGTGTGTGTGTGTGTGTGTGTGTGTAAGGTGAGATTTAAGTTTCTTACAAATGATTCCTCAAGGTGAGGAGCTTAAACCAAACATGTTGGTTTTCTTTGGTTTCATTTATGAAGTTTTTTCCATTCTGATTTTTTTATTCTTTTCATTTTTCTCTTGATGCTTTCTAATCTACTCATTATTAATTAGAAAGGACCTGGCACTAATTATCCTAATGAATTAGCAGGCAGTAACTTAAAAGGTGTTACCTTACCAGTGCTTCTCACATTTTCATATGGAACCTTCTAAGACTGGATTTTTTTGTTGTTGATATGATCCAAATGACTATATCTTTGGTAAAATTTTGGCATAGGAAAAAGCATGAGGAAGTTATTTTTGGATAGGAGATAATTGAGTGTGTGTGTAGCTGCTTTACCTATTAGTAAAGGTGAGGGGGATGAACTAATAACACTGATTGTATGCTGGGCACTGTATTGGCATTTTATATGCATTATTTGTCAACTTTGGTTAATAAATAAATGTGGATTATTCTACTTGGCACTAATAACTTACCTTAGTTAGCTGCTTACAAGGTAACAGTTTGGGAAAGAATCTGAAAGAATAAACACCCGAGCCATTCTCTTGTTTTTAGATTGGTCTGTGTATTCTGCTTTTGTGCTTGAGACTTTATGTTATATTAAGCCTATTCCAACAAACCTTTATTGACTTGTTTTGTAGTCAAGATATAGATGTATATGATAATTTCCTGCTAAAAATTTATAATCTCTTGGCAAACTGTGACTTAGGTTGAGCTGCTCTGCCATATAGGATGTTGTAGGTGCTTTAAGACATGTACTAGTATAGTGAGTTCAGAGCCCCAGCAGAGTCTCAGATATTGTCTTCTAGTCCAACTGTAGTATTTACAGGTGGAAAAACTGGTGCTCCAGGAAGTACACAAACAGTTGGATGATAATGCAGTTCTCTTGATTCTTAAGTTCTTTCCACTGTGTTAAAATACACAGACAAAATGAAAAACAGTGTCTACAAGGGAGGATTGATAGAACAGGGAGGTTGAGTGGAAGGAATATGCTGTCATTTTTTTAGGCCAGTTCTGAATTCTAACAATTAGTAATCTTTCAATTTGTTTTTAAACTATGAAATTTTCAAACTTGTAGAAAAGTACAAAAACTAACATACCCACCAAATAGATTTGCCAGATTGGTTGCAGCCTTTGAAGATAAAGAAATAGTGACCCCAAGTGGTTAAAAGATATACACATCTTCAATGAAGATAAATTATAAAACTAGTAATTGGAGGAAGGGAGAATAAATAAGCTTAGTTTCTTTAGCAATTAAAGAAATACAAATTTTAGAATTATGAATTATTGCCCTAGCCGGTTTGGCTCTGGATCGAGTGTCGGCCTGCAGACCAAAGGCTCCCAGATTTCATTCCTATCAAGGACATGTACCTCAGTTGCAGGCTCCTCCCTGGCCGGGGCATGTAGGGAGCAACCAATCGATGTGTTTCTCTCACATTGATATTTCTCTCTGTCTTTCCTTCTCTTCCACTGTCTCTAAAAATCAGTGGAAAAAAAAATCCTCGGGTGAGAATTAACAAAAAATTATGAATTTTTATGAACTATTCTTATCAAATTAGTGAAAATAAATTTTAAAAAAACTAGGGGAGTGGGAAATGGGCACTCTCTTTTTTTTTCAAATATATTTTATTTATTTCAGAGAGGGAGAGAGAGAGAGAGAGAGAGAGAAGCATCAGTGATGAGAGATAATCATTAATCAGCTGCCTCCTCCATACCCCCTACTGGGGATTGAGCCAGTAACCGGGCATGTGCCCTGACTGGGAATTGAACCATGACCTCCTGGTTCATAGGTCAACGCTCAATTATTGAGCCACACTGGCCAGGCTGGTTAGTCTTTTAACTGCTGGAGGCTGCATAAATGCTTCACATTTTTGAGAGACCATCCTCACACTGTACATACACAAATCTTCATAATAAACATACTTTAACCCCTAGAGCAGTGATGGCGAACCTTTTGAGCTCGGCGTGTCAGCATTTTGAAAAACCCTAACTTAACTCTGGTGCCATGTCACATATAGAAATTTTTTGAGATTTGCAACCATAGTAAAACAAAGACTTATATTTTTGATATTTATTTTATATATTTAAATGCCATTTAACAAAGAAAAATCAACCAAAAAAATGAGTTCGCGTGTCACCTCTGACATGCGTGTCATAGGTTCGCCATCACTGCCCTAGAGTGCCGGGAGCGCTATCGTGCTCCTCCTGCAGTGCCACTATTAGATGCTAGTAGTTCACTCTTTATTGATAGATGGCACCTAAGCGCAGATTACTTATGATGCTGAATGTTTGTAGTTCTAAAATTGAATATGTAACTTCATTTACTTTCGATTCATAATTTTTTTTCCTAAACTGCTGTAAAATCAGCAAAAATGCCTTGGCAATTATAGCATAGTTCCTAAGATATTGGTTGGCACTCAAAGGGTTAATATACTAATTTCATTCCTGGGTATATAACCTGAGGAAAAATTCCAGAAGAGGAAAAAAGTTATAGTTATAAAGTGTTTTTTTTTTCTTTTAAATAACGGGATTGGGTAAATAAATTTGCTAGATTATTTTAAAGTCTTTATAAACAATTCAGATACATAGAGAGTTGCATTAGGAACCATTTAAAAAAAACAGCACATCATTATATATAGAGAGAGGTGAAGAGAATTCTTTTTTTAAAAAATTAATCCTTTATTGTTCAGATTATCACAGTTCCTCTTTTTCCCCCCATAGCTCCCCTCCACCCGGTTCCCACCCCACCCTCTGCCCTTAACACCCTCCCCGCCTGTCCTCATCCATAGGTGTACGATTTTTGTCTTCCTACACCCTCCACACCCCTTTCCCCGCAAGAATTGTCAGTCTACTCCCTTTCTATGCCCCTGATTCTATTATATTCACCAGTTTATTCTGTTCATCAGATTATTTATTCACCTGATTTTTAGATTCCCT